AGCCGACTAGGCCTGGCTTGGATAGGATACGATACGATACGATACGAAGGAGATGGGGTTGGGGGCTGGCTGGATTGGTTTTGTTTGGTTTGTCGGTTGGTTTGGCCGCCGCCTCAGCGGTGGATTCGTGCAAAAATTTCTGCAACGCATCGAAATAGTTGCAAGGCAAAGTCTCTGGCTGCTGGCTGCTGCTGTTGCAAGTTCCATATTCATCAGATGCGACACTCTTCATTCTTGGTGTTGTTGTCTTTTTGTCGATGCTTTGCTTTGCTTTGCTTTTGCCTTGTCTTGTAGTTTTTCGTTGACTGTTTTTCTATCGAAAACCAAACTGGATTTCGTCTTAAATGATGCGCTGCGTATCTCGGCGGATTGCAGTTGCAACTGCTGTTGATTTTGCCATTGCATTTTAATTAAGTGCATTTTAATGAGGCACCATCAGGATCATTATCATCATCATCATCATCGCCTGCCGATGCGACTACACCACCATTACACAAACGCATTTTAAATGGGCTGGAAGGCAGCCGGGCAGGCAGCCAGGCTGGGAAGTTTTCATTCCATTTCAGAATAATTCTGATTCTCTTCTGTTTAGTTCGTTTCAGCTAATTATTAAGCCTATTTAGATTAGTCTCCACTCTTGTGGCCTCGGGCTGTGCGTTGTGGTTGCTGCTGCCATCAAATTGATGCGGAAAAAAATATGCTAAAATTGTTTGTTTTAATTCGATTTGAGTCTTGCACCGACGCCAGGCTGGCAGCGATTTTCTCATCCTGAATCCTAATTCATGCGATGTTCAGGTGCTGTCCGGTCCGGCTGGTTACAGGGCATATCTGTTTGGCAGATCGTTGAATGTGGGCTTAGACTTTATTTAGATTTCGTTCATTTAAATCAGATTACAATTAGGCTGCTAAAGTAATTTTTTTCTATTGCTGTAACCCACCAAATGTGAGTGCATCTGTTAAACCATCAAGCCGAACATTTTGTTGCCTGCAGATAGTACCTCACTGTCCCCCCAATTCCACCCTCTCACATCAAACCCACACTCTCCTCTTGGCTCCCCTTTGGCTCCATGAAAAAGGGGCAAAAAGTTTTTCCATTTTTTTTCAAATTGCGTAATTTTCATTAGTTTGCTGCATTTGCAGACAAATTAAGAGCTTCTGCTGCTGCTGCTGCTTCTGAGCCTCCCCGAGTGCATCCACCCAAAGTGCGTATCTGTGAGATACGCATGCAAATACTGCAGGACTACCCTCTGATGCACTGGCTCCTGCTGCTGCTGCCTGCTGCTGCTGTGGTTTTTCAATTTCTCTCTCAATTTTTATACATTTTTTTTTCCAGCCTTTTTGTACGCAAATAATTGTGAATTTTTTCCCTCGCATTTTTGTTGGCAGTAGCCTTATTGTTGTTTGGCTTGGTTGGGATACTTTTTTTATTCTATGCACACACGCACACACACACATAGTATATATTTTTTATTTTTAATTAAAAGCGGAAGTAAATGGCAGGGGAGGGATGATGGATGGACGGATGGATGGATATGATGGTTAGGATTGGTTGAGTTTGGTTTGGTTTGGTTTGGTTTCGTTTGGTTTGGTGGTGACTCGTCAAGTGCGTGGGTGCGTGGGCGCATGGCATGGCACTGCCGGGCACTTTGGCCATTCCATTCCATTCCATTCTATTCCATTCCTACGGCTGTTGCTGTAGTGTTTTGCTAACAATGCGAATTTCAGGGCATTGTTGCTGCTGCTGCTGCCTCCAGTCCTTGCCACACCCCTACCCATACATACATATGTATGTGTGCATGTATAGACAGACGCATCAAATCATCAGCGGCGATTTCAGACAGTCATCAGATGAAATGTCAAATGCGTTTCCCTGCCACACAGCGCCAAGTGGGCAAACAGAGGCGCAGCATAGCAGCGCCAATGATACTGTCGTCTACTGGTACTGGCTACTGGTTGGTTGCTCCTGGTTGCTGTGCCACACAGCTTCATAGATGACACTGCCACTGCCACTGCTTAGAGAGCTCAAACTAAACCAAACTCAACAACAATAAAAACATGGCAACAATCCACAAACTGAAGAGTTTTTCAAATAACGAAAAAAAAAAAATGCCCCTGTGAGTGGGTGAGTGGGGGAGCGGAAAAAAGAGGGGGAAAAAAAATCGAGAAAATTAAAACAAAACAAACAGCAAACGCATCATCCAGTGGATGATGATGCCTGGCACGGCATCCACATTCACAGCATCATCCTTTGGATACTCAGGTCTGCCCTGCCCTGCCTTGGTACTGCCCTGCCTTGGTCCTGTTCCACGCATGAGGAGATTTCGGTTTAGCTTTTGATTGACGAACTTGCCTCGTTGTTTGTCCCTGTCTCCTCCGCAGCCTGCCAGCCACTGACGCTTTTCACTCAAACCCATCAACGTCAGCGACGCATTCAAATCGTTTTGATGGACTCAGCCTCAGTCGCCCCCCACCCCGCCCTATGCCATCATTCCATTGCCATACTCACGCAGGGAATCATAGCACAAGAACAAAACAAGGCACACAAACAAAAAAAAGCTAGAATCTTGGTATTCAATGCTATAGCGACTTTTAGATACCCACGAATCCAGAATTATCTAAGCAGCATTCAGACACAAAAGACAAGAGAAATGCGCGATCAGCCGTAAAGTAAGCCAAGCGACTACTGCAGGGGAAGGGTATCATCAATAAAATATAGTTCATATAATAAATTCCAATATACCCTTGTGTAAAGGGTACAACAAAAAATGCTATGAAAATGGTATGAGTATGAGTATGCCCGAGCCTGGCCCAATATTTGTATTTTACGCAATTTTTACTGACTGACAGAGCTGAGAGAGGGGCGAGCTGCGTTACCGTTACTGGCTGCCGGCTGTCGGCTGTCGGCTGTCGACTGATTTGCAAACCGATTTGCTACTTTGTTCATGTCAGTCCGTCAGTCTGTACATTGTGGATCATCAGAGTCTGGGTGGCTAAGGGTTCGGCTATGGCACTAAGCCGCCCCCCCACCACCCCACCCCCAACACATGTTTGCCCAGCCATTCATTGTCTTTTGGTTTTATATTCATTTTTTTTTTGCTGATTGAAAGTTTGTGCGACAATTGTTGTGGCGTCATTAGGAAATGTGGTCCAGAGTCTCATTAAACAAAAAATGCATACAAAACGACAGGGGAAGAAGGAGTACTCAGCTTCCAAAGGATAATCAATGGAAATGCAAACTAAAATATTCATAATCCACTCTTAATTATTATTCCAACCATCCAGCAGCAAGTTTCGGGCTGCGATTACTCATACGCAGCGTTTGTTCATTTTCCTATATTTTATTTTCGTCTCTGCTTTCCCGTTTTGGGCATTATCCGCTTAGCTATTTCCACTGCAACGCCTTTTCACAGCTAATTTGCGATAAAATATGCCAGTGCCAGCACAGAAACAGGCGGTAGGGTTCCATATCGTTGTTATTCCCTTTCAGAGGGTCAAATGATACCAGCTAAACATTTGCGAAAGTATTGCCAAGTCCATAAGGATTGTGCGCTGTAGGGTATTTACAGTTTCGGTGCTCGGTGCTCGTTGCTCGATGCTTATCTTCTTGTTGCAATTAAATTAGCCAGCAGTAAAGTTGCCGGATCCTAGGCTGTGGCAAGGATTCTGTGTTGCCGGGGCACAGCGATGCTATGGATAAACTGTTGCCAAAAAGTTTTAAGCTGCATTTCAGGGCTGCTTTCACACCCCGAAAAACTTTTGCACGAGCAAAGTTTGAGTGGCGCTTGCCTGTCTTGTTTTTGATCTTCTCATGGCCATAATCTGTGACGTCGACGCTGGCTGCCTGGCTGCCTGGCTGCCTGGCTGCCAGCTTTTCCATGTAAATGAGACGACCAGCCACAAAGTTTTGCATATTTTGGATTTGATATTTCGGCCAGTTTTGGGGCAAACTATTACCCAAAAAACTTGTTGCAAAGGCCAACAGCAGTTGCAGCAGTCTGTGTGTCTGTGTGCTGTGTGCACTTGTTGCCTCTGTGGCTGTGACTGTGACTGTGTCTGTGTGTGCCTGTATCAGCGTCGTGTCTGACTGAGAGAGAGTTAATAACACGACCTCAACACACACACACACACACACGCACACGCACACATAGAGTGTTTTGACTGCCAGATGCCACAGCTCGTTATTTGGCTCATGTCCTTGTGGCTGTTTTGGGTCAACATCAGGCCAGGCAGACAGCCAGGCAGCCGTCTGGTTCTGCTGTGCTGTGCTGTGCTGTGCTGTGCTTGCTCTGTGAGTGCTTGTGTTTTGGCATTTGAATGTGGTGTGGCGTGGTGTGGTGTGGCGGGATAATTGAAAACACATTCGGGTCGTTTAGGGACACTTGTCGAGTGTCATTTACATCTAATTAGTTAGAGAGTCCATTCAGGATTACCAGGCAACAGGCAACAGGCAGCCCGCGACCTACCTCAAAACCATGCAAAACAACTCGTTTATTTCGCATTAAATAATTAGTTATGGTTAGGCACATTCCAATATCGGAATTAAGGGTAAATGCCAAAGCAGGAAATACCCTTAGACCCGTATTGAAATAATGTTCCAAGTGCAGGTCACCCGGAATGTGGTTTATGATGCTGCCATAAATATATCATTATTTATTTGGGATATTTAGGGAAATAAATAACAAATAATTGGCTATATTTATTTGCGTCTTGCTGGAAATATTCGATTGGTATTCCAAAGGGGTACAAAGGACGTCTACTTATTCACGACACAATCCATTGAACGAACAATCTCCTCTTCGATTCCTCTACCCATCAGCATTCGCCTTTTTGTGTTATTTGTTTTGTTCCGCTCAATCCGCATAGCGCGAAAGACAACGACAAAGAGAGTGAGAGAAGGAGAGGGACCGGGCACGGGAGAGGGAGCGGTAGCGGGAGAGGGTTAAGCAACCGAAGCGAGACAAAACCCAATCGCGCGACTACATATAATAGCCACAACGCCCTGGGCGGGGTACATCAGTGGCAATAGCCAAGTGGAGTCGCGCGCATCGGCTGGAAATGATTCGGCCACTTAAGCTGCTGCTGCCTTTTGCCACGTTGCCAGCGATCATCTGGCTGCTGCTGCTGCTGGCCAATGCCAATGCCAAGGCCAATGCTCTGACAGGTGAGGCGAGTCTCTACAACGAGGCTGACAACGTGATCAATGCGGACACCGAAACACTGCTGCCGTATCTGCGCACGACGCCAAAGGGCAAGCTGGTGCAGTTCATAAACATCTTCTGCGGCGACTGCCGACGCTTCGCACCCACCTTCAAGGATGTGGCACGCGAACTGTACAAGTGGAGGAGCGTGATCAGCGTTTACGCCGTCGACTGTGCCCAGGAGAGGAATGTGAAGATCTGTCGCGACTTTCAGATCCTTCATACACCGACGTTGCGCTACTTTCCACCAGCATACTCTGGCAACGGGCTGGGCATCAACATACAAACCACCATGCCTGAAGAAATTATCGATCTGTTGGCCGGGTATTTGGCCAGAGACACCGACACGGCCCTGCTGCACTTTGAGCCCCTTAGACCCGACAGCACTGCGAATGCCACAATCGCAGAGCACAGAGGACATGGCCACAGCGAGGATTATATTGCACTTGTCCTACAGCCGAGGGGCTCGAACATTGGCAGAGACACGATCCTCGAGCTGCTGCCATATCCTGCGGTGGCTGTACGCATTCTCGATGATGTCCAGATCTTTGCCAACTTTGGCTTGGCTGCCCACGACCAGAAGTTGGCCATCATGGACCTGGCCGGCAACATTCTGGCGCTGAAGGCCTTGCAAGAAACGAGCCAAGCCTATGCGGCCAGCATTGCCGAGTTTCTGGCCCAAATGGGTCGCACCCCGTGGCCGCCACTACCCACGACCAGAGCACCGAAAATCAGCACCATCCGAAACAAGGAGAAGCTGTCGATCCTGGCGACAGTGATGCGGGAAGCACCGAGGGTCTATCGCGCCGATCTGGAGCAGTCAATCGACACACTGCTGCACATTGAGTTGCCCAAGGCAGGGCTCATTGAGGGCAATAATCTGACAGATCTGCGAAACATAATCTCCGTACTGAGACACAACAATCCCCTGAACAAGGACGGTCAGCTGCTGCTCACAGGCCTCCACGATTCGCTGCTCACGATCGACCGCTTGACGGGACTGGAGTTCATGGAATTGGTCAAGTCGCAAGAGAAGGGGCTGGGCAATGTGTTCAAGGCACATCGCTATGTTGGCTGCATTGGCACGCGTCCCTTCCTGCGCGGCTTCACCTGCTCCCTGTGGACGCTGTTCCACTACCTCACTGTTGCGGCGGCCAAGCAACCGCACAACCTTGAGCCTGGATCCGTGCTCGACGCCGTACACGGCTTTGTCAAGCACTTTTTTGGCTGCACGGACTGTGCCCAGCATTTCCTGGCTATGGCAGAGCACAACCACATCGAATTGGTGGCGGATCACGATGCTGAGATTCTGTGGCTGTGGGAGGCCCACAATGAGGTCAACAGCCGTTTGGCTGGCGATACCACAGAGGATCCCGAGTTCCCAAAGATTCAGTATCCCAGCGAAATGGATTGCCACGCCTGCAGGAACGAGAACGCCGAGTGGAATCGCATTGAGGTCTTAAAATATCTGAAAAGCATCTACGACACTAAGAACTTGAGCTCCTACGGTTTGCCTACCGCCTGGGTATTTTAATCGAATGTAAAAATATTGCTTCATACTTTACATACATAATGTAAATAGTACGTATGAATATCAGCCCTAAAGTTTATGGAAATATATTAAACAAGTAAAACCAATAATACTCGGGTATTAATTTAAGAGAAACAGTTAATGGTTTGCCCAGAATGCTGCAAAATTAAAGAGTAAAATCAATAAACCAAGAACCATGAAAGAGTATTAATTTGTATGGGCTTTGAGCTGTACTTAAGTCTGGGTGCTCTTCTTGCCTTGATTTGCCTCTTGCAATCGCAATGATTGATAAAGAACAGAGAATGTTGCACTAGTCCAGTACTGACTAATTTTGAATTCGTTTCATTTATTAGATCCGCCAATTAAATGTGACACAATCGCGTGAAATAACCGAAACAAATACGGCTGAAAGCTTGGGCTGAAAGCTCTTAAATAAACATGCCATTGGTACAGACAAACCTCAACGTTTCGGTAATGAAATTCCTACGCAAGTTGTTTGCTTTTTTCGGGATGTCAGCTCTACTTAACGGAGCTGCTGTCGAAGCGCACCAAACACGGGTAATTCAGTACACGAAAAATGGAAAAATTTGGCTGCACGAGGATTTCGGTGAACTCTTGGCCAAAAATCCACTGAATGCCGTTGTCTTCTATAGCCTTACCGACGAAGAGCCGAGCATACTGCCGGAAGCTGTTGAGAAGCTGCTCATATTCCAGCGGCTGCTCAACGTTTATATGCTCAAATGCAGCATGACAGTCAATAAGAAGAGCTGTTCCGACTACCACATGACAAGTTCACAAGGAGTGCGTTTCTTTGAAAACCGATTTCAATTCAACCCGGAACAGGGACAATATGGTACGGAAATCCCCATGGACCAGCCCATACAAGTTGTCAAAGCCGTGACAAACCTACTGCCCAGACGGAAGCTGCCACTACCAGCGGGCTCTCCAAACTTTCGACCCATCAACCATGACGACGACTACAAATCGCTCTTCGCTGAGGCCGCGCTCAAACACTTTACCCACGTGGTGCTGGTCGAACAGATCGAATACTTCTCGAAGCTGGGCCGTGACACGATTCTGGCTCTGCTCAGCGTGGAGAACGTGATCGTTCGCATTGTGAAGAATCCGCATTTCTTCGATAATTTTGGTCTGACATTTAAAGAAGGACAGGACAAATTGGGCATCATCGATCGAACGGGCCGGGCGCTGGTTCTGCACGCGAAAGATTCAAATGGTTTAGCATTTGCTGAGGCTGTTATTAGCCATCTGAAAACTATTGGGAAAATCTAAGGCATAATAGGAAATTTATAATAAATATAGGCACTAATTCTGATGGATTGCGAAGTATTACTTAGGCGTGTGGTTTAGCTTAAGGATGGAACACTTTTCTGGCCGATAGCAGGGGCTGCAGAGTGTGATATGAAAATTGCATAAATTGACTAAATTAAGCCCTTAGGTTAAATGAAGCGTCAAGGAGGAGCCCAATCCCAATCCATGCCACATGCCACCAACGAGTGGTACGGTTGGCTATTATACGGCGCACTTCAAGCCGACCTGTGCATGAATTATTTATAGAACATTTTTGCAAAATATCTACGCACTAATTTGCGTAAAGTAATCGATGTGGTGGAAAAATTTTCACGCATGCACACATGAGAGGGGTGACGGTGACGTGACCCGGGCAAGCGGCCCAGGCCTGTCCTGTGCTGGCCTGGCCTGGCCTGGAAGCAGGTTGGGTCGCCTCACCTGACAAATGGACTGACTATTTGGGGGAGTGGGCATGGGCACGGGCACGTTACGGCTGGGTGGCAGGTGGCCGTGTGGCCGTGTTGGGTGTGTGGGTGTGGGTGGTCGTTCAGTCATGCCCAAATAAGCCAACAGCAAAACGGAAGCTAAAAATTACCAGCTACCCCTCCAGGGACTCAGGACGGACCCACAACACTGCAAGTGCAACGCCCACAAAAACTTTTCTTCATTGTGCGTAAATTGGCACCCCTCAAACAAGCTACAACCAAACCCCAAACCCCAAGCCCCAACCCGCAGACCCAACTCCCTTAATCGACGCACTCACTTTGCCCTTATGTAATGATGTGTATGTAAAATTTATAATATACATAAATAAATAAAATGCACGCAGTCAAAAGAAGTGCAATGGGGCAGAGGTTTGTGGTTTGGGTAAGGGTTGGGTTTGGGTTTGGGTTGGGTAGGGGATTTGAGGTTAGGTTTTGAGGCGATGTCAGTGTGCAGCTTATCGATATTTTTCAGTGCCCCCACATCACCCTCATCGATGGGCCAAGCGAAAATGCCTTACATAACCCATGCAGGCCCTACGCGGCGGCGGAGGAGGAGCAAAATGGCAGCTCGTGCACAACTGTACGGCGAGTACGCATGAATTTTGTGCGTGCCTTGAAATTGAAGGTTCCTCAAGGCTCGAGGCCGTAAATTTTCGAGCAATGCACGCACAGATACGCGTATCTCGGCACCGGAAACCGGAAACCAGCGCCCATTTTGTAGCATTGCCATTGCAATCCATTTATCTTGTACAAGTGCCAAAAGGGCCCACGAATCGTGCCAGCGTAAAATGCGTAAAATATAGACAAAATGTGTCTTGGGTCTAATAGCAAACGGATATTGTGGCATTTGCTTTATGAATTTCCAGATAGTCGGATTCAGTCTGCAAGTCTAGTAGTCTAGGGTCTAGTCTCCTATCCCGGAAGCCCTTTAATTGGGCGTTTGCTGGGGTCCAAATCATTTGCATAATGTAATTACCAGCTCGAAAAGGGATTACCCCAAGCCCCCCTCGCTCTCTTTCTCGCTCTCACTCTGCTGACATGGCATGACTGGGTTTTGGCATGCATTAACCAAAAACAATAACCCCGTCCAGAATTGTGCACAAATTATTGTTTAGGCATTTAAATTACAAAAGAAACGCAAAAAAAAAAGAAGCGAATTAAAATGGCAAGAGCTAGGAAAGCAATAAAATGCCAGCTGAAGAAGCATCAGCTGTAATCCGGGGGGGCCCGGGCCCCCCTCGTTGTTATAATTATGTAAAAACAGTCTAAAGATTGACTTGACTTCTACAAACACACACACAGCTGCACCTGGCTCTGGCTCTGCCTGTGCCCCATGCCGCTGCGTTTGTGCCTGTGCAACTCTCTGCTGTTGCAGGCGCATGCGAAGCTAACATAAATTTGTGGCATAGAAGAAGAACGAAGCCCACAGAGATGTGTTGGGTGAGGGGTGGGAATGGGAAGGGAAAGGGTAGCTGGTACAACCTGGTAATTATCAGTGCCTTAGCGGCAAAGGCAACATTGTCTGTCTGTCTTGACTGCGTCGACAAGGCGGCTACCGTTGGGCGCTCCACGCTCCCCGCACCCCTCCCACAACCCATCACCGAATACACGCAAAAAATGTAAAGTGAAAATATTTTTTTTGTAAGCCACTTGCGGGTGAATGGGTGCAACGGCGAAGGACAGTAAAGGCAGGGTTGGCGGAGGGGTGTGGGTTGGATCAAATGGGCGAGCACCGCAATTTGCCGTTGGCTGGAGGGCACTCCCGCCCCACTGGTACGCCCTGCAACCCCCACACCATTTTCTATGCCGAACTTGAGCATTTTACTATGTTGTTACATATAATTAAAAAACTTATGAATAGAAAAGATGGCAGCGAAAAAAAAAGAACAACAGGCCACAGAACCCAGGGCTGGAAAAATGTTGATTAATGGACAATGTGTAGAACCAACGGCAGGGATGAAGTTTACGGCTAAAAACCTATAAGGGAATTTAGAAAACAATAAAAGAATCCAGCTCAGTCAATGGAGTTTAATTGTAATACAATAAAAACAATATACAATATACAAACCAAGTTAAATATTTTTCTTTGGGAATTTCCCAAACAAAATCCAGGGATTAAAATCCCTAACAAAACCCATACAGAACTCTCATTGTCTCAGCGACATCTTCCCACCATCATCATTTAATTAAAAACATTTCTCCAGCCCTATTTATCCCACTTATAATAGGCTAATGCTGCCACTAGCAGTAACAACAAAAACAAAACGCCAAACCGAATGCAATTTGGCAGCAATTTTCCCAAACTTTGTGTTGGCACACACAGCAAATGCCGCCGATGCTGGCCAACCGCCAGCCACCCTCTGCTCTGCTCCCCCTAGCCAACCCATCAGCCACAATTTGCGGCAGCGCGTAATTAAAACAATTTATGTATAATTTTTGTACAAGTGCAGTCCAAAGCCAAGCCAAAGCCGAGCCCCAAGACTGTAGGCATGGCCCCTACCCTACCGCTGGGCTTTTAAATAATAATTTGCTTAGTTTATGAAGTGCCATAGTGTGCGTGTGCCTGTGCGTGAGCGTGTGTGTGTGTGTCTGAGTGGGTGCGTGCGAGTGTGTGTGTGCTGGGTAGCGATTCTGCCCCTGACTCTGTCCCTGTCCATGTCCCTGTCTCCCACTCGGCCTCTGGCTACACTGCAAAAAAAACAAAACATATTATTTGATTATGAACAAACGGACATTTAAACATTTCAAATCAAGATGTTTTTGTGTGTGTGTGTTTTCTTCAGTGCAGCGCTGCAGCGGTGGCGCGCAATTTACTCACTTGGTTGCATTTGAACATATTTCGTTACGTTTTCTGCCAGCCAGAGACTCAATTGTTGTTGCTTTTTCAGTTGGCTGGCATGTGTTTTTGTTGCGCTGTTTTTTTATTTCGCTTCTTTTTTTTTGTGTTGCACTTAACTTAGGTTTAATTTGTTTGAGTTTCATGCAACAGAAGCAGCTTCTGTGGCGGGATTTCATGTGCATCTGCCGCTGCTGCTGCTGCTGGTGCTGCTGCTGGCTTCTTTCTCTCAAGTCGAAAAATATTTGTGCACGCAAAAAATGTTAATTGCCACAGAGCAGTGGCAGTGGCAGAGGCAGAGAAGCAGTGGCTGAGACTGAGGCAGGGCAGGGCAGGCAACATCAGCAAAAAGCGAACCATCAATGTGGCCGGGGCATTAAAATATTTAGGTTGCTATTGCTGCT